ATGAATTGATCTTCATTTAAATTTTCTTTAAATGATTCGGGTTAAGTTCCCTGGTTTGCCCCCACCTCCATCTCGAAGTGAGTATGCTATTTTTTATATATTCCCTTTTAATCGTGCTTTCTGGGGGGATTTTTGAAGTATATATTTTTTTCAAAAAAACATTTGTCTAAATGCGTTATCTATTAATCTCATGTGCACTGCTTTGGTTGCTATAGAAAAAATAGAGAAACTTATGAAGCTGGAACCACAACTAAAGAGGCTACTCCCAGGCTTATAATGCCAAATTAGAAGGCAATCTCAGGTGGCCTCTTGGATTATTTTTTTAACCATTTGTCTCTCATGTTTTGAGAATTTTGACTAAGTGAGGCATTTATGTCATCATGATAAATTCAATTGAGGCAATCGGGAAAATACTTGGTCAACATGCAAATATAAAAAAAAGAAAGAAGACAAAGGGAAGAAGTGCCAAGAAGAAAAACAAGTGAATAAGCTTTTTTAATTTTTCAATTTTTTTGTGTTTTTACCTTCTCCAAATATATGGCACCAACGACATTAGTGCAAAGATTGACTTGCCTTGGACAAAATTGGGGCTTTCATCGAACGATGTTGATCGAGGTGGCAGGGCTAGCAACACCCCTGATGGTGGCAGCATGGAGGTATTAAACCCTAGACCTATGGAACTTTTTTCATTTTATTCCATTTTTTTCAATTTCATGCTATCCTATTTTTGTTAAATTTTGTAGTTGTTTTAATTAGTAATTTTTTGTTCAAGAGAAATGTTGATGAAACATTGTATTCCTTCAATCTGTTATTAAATATCATCTCAAAAACATTTTTCAACTTTACTTGTGGTGATTTTTAGCTATCATAATTATATTTTTTTAAATGGAAAGTGTAAAATTTTAGCATGCTTTGCATTAACTTGCAAGTTATGAAAAATGTACAAGTGGATATGTTACAATTTATGAGCATGTCATATATACTTTTTTTGGTCCCAACAAGCATTGTTCATATAACATAAGATGTAAATGTTATTTTTTTAAATAGTTCAATGCATAGTTATGGTTTGATCTTCTATGGGCATACAACAGCTTTGTATGATCGGTACATGTGTTGGGAGATGAAAGTGCCGGTGCTATAGAACTTTTGTATATAGTTCTCATTTACTTATATGTTTACCTCTTGGAGCTTCCTTGCAATTGGCTACATGGGAATATCATAACTCTTGGAGGTAGCTTGGAAATGGTAAAATGACGTTTTTGGTTCTTGAGTTTGTGGTTTCTTAGACAATTGCAATTTGTTATTGTACTTTGGAGTCAACTTAGGTTACCAACTTCAAGGTTTTCACTCAAGAAATGAAGTGAGAGGAATCCAAGGTTATTACAATTGGCCTCTTTAATAGTTGTTTCTTGAAGAGAAAGTTTACATCTTGCAGGTTTCAAATGTTTGGAAGTGAGCAAAGTGAGAAGAGTCCAGTTATTGCAGACCCTATTGCCCGTTCAAATCCAAGGATTGCTCTTTGACTTAATTTTATAATTATAATTAAGGGTATTAGGTTTCCATGTCCTTTTCTTTTTGGGATTTTCTCCTCCCCGCACTCCCCCAATTTTTTCAATTGGCTTTTGATTCTATTGTCTCGATTTGTAAATTTATTTATTTCTTATAGTAGTAACAAATTAAAAAAAGTTTTACGTATACTTTTGTTATGGAGTGTTTATTCTTTATATTTTGAAGCAAATTAATTGTCATGCATGACATGGGTCAATCTCCATTACGTGTCAGATTACTATTAAAATCTTACTCTTTAATTGTTTTCAATTTTAAAAGGTTGTCTCGCGTGTAAAAGTTTTGCATGAATTGAAGATCTTGAGTTCCGATGATTAAAATAATCCCCTGAATCAGAATTCAAATGTGGTGTATAATAAAGTTTTTCAAAATTTCTAACTATTGTCGAATTCGTTTAAAAATAATCTGAACCAATTATTCGTGACGTGACTTATTTGAACCAATTATAATCATATGAAACATGATTTAATTATATACTTTTTCCGTCTTTAAGTATTTGCCCACTTTTGATTTTTTTCAAATAAAATTGGTAAACTTTGCAAATAAAAATGATATTAGATATTGATACAAAAGGAGTTTTATTAGAGTATTATATCAAATATTTTCAAAATATTATTTTATTTAATTAAAATACAATATATATTTTATTTAATTATAGGTCAAAGATTGAAAGCAATTGACCGAAAAAAGGCAAAACTGGATAAATACTCAGAAACAGAGGTAGTAGGAATATTAGAATATACGGAGTAATATTTTTACCGTGCATCTTACGAGATAGTTATGTTGAGATTCTCCCGAAACCTTGGTTCTTGACACAAGTTCTCCTATCAAGAGTATAGTAAGTGGACTTCACTTATCTGAACATATTACAGAATATGAATACTTTTCTTTTTTGAGGATATGACACTATTAGGACTAACTCTTGAAGTAGTTGAAATGATAAATTAATTTGTCATGTCTCTCATTCCCGGTGATGAAAAAGAGTACTTGAGTTCTGATTCTTCATGCCAAGCAGATCGATGCAGATTCTTCGTGATGATTGATAACCATTTAGTTTTTGAATGAAATCAAATGTTCGAGAATCCCAAACAACAAAATAGTTTTTATAAAGGGGGTAATGATTTTGTTATTAAGGAACATTAACCAAACATCTATATTGTGTAATGATACAAGATTAATCGTTGAAGAGTTATGAAATAATGTTATGAGTGCAATTATGGTTTCGAAAAATCGAGTTAGGGAAAAGGCTGAAATACCTAGATAGAATTTGGTATCGTCTGATCTATGACTACTCATGAAGTTCTAGAGATTTCAATTCTCAATAGTTATATGTTTTTCTATAACTATTAACAAAAGTAGAGGTCAAACATTGTCATTTGTTATAATTTTTTAATCAAGCCAGTGTTCACTCATGGTCAGTCATGATCAACTTTATGTTGCTGTTTTACGAGTGAAAAAACAAAAAATATACCGGAGTAGTTAATAATATTAGTTCTAGATGATAATGAAAATCCTTACAACCAAATCAAAAATGTTCTATATTCTAAAGTCTTTCAAAAAATATAGATTTAAAAAAAGGTACTTTGAGGTGTTCATTTTTAAATTTATATATATAAACTTTCATTACCAAACATTAAATGCTAAATTATTTATTTTACTTTGATTTTAATGTTTATAATGTTAAAAAACGCATTACATATATTTTCATTAATTCATTAAAAATATTTTATATAAAATAATTTACAGAAGCGACAAAAATTTTGTTCAACCTCGTGCGTTGCACGGGTTAAATACTAGTTTGCTTATTATAATCACACAGTAATAAATTAATGATGATTAAATATGGTAATATTAAGCTTGGCCGGTTCTCTAAATGTAAACATTATTAAATTGAAAGCTTATTTAATTAGAATTATTAGACGATAATAATGACTAAGTACAGTAATATTATTACACAGTATATTATTATTATTATTATTATTATTATTATTATTATTATTATTATTCTTACACGGTAATTAATTAAAAATGATTAAATACGGTAATATTATTACACAGTATATTATTATCATTATTATTATTATTATCATCATCATCATCATCATCATCATTATTATTATTATTATTATGCTTGTCACACGGTAAAACATAATTTATTCTTGTTAAATGGTGATTAATGATTTAATTACCATTTATATATTCAACACTTATCATACGGAGTATGTGCTACCATTTTTATGTATTACTTTGTCATATTTTGTAGATTTAATTTCTTCTTCTATTTCTGATTTTGTAATTTTTAAAATTGTGCTTTCCATAAATGCATATCTATACTTTATTTAAAAAGAAGTGAAGTCAACTTTGTGTTTTCCCGCCCAAGAGTGCTAGGCATTAGTTATGGTAATTCTAAATTTAAATTGGTAACTAATAAATGCTAATAATTACGGAGTATATTATATTATATACATAATTTGGTATTGGTAATATAATCATTTAATGTGGTGATTAGAGTCACAAACATATAGTTTACAAACTTCACAAACTTGCTCTTTTTGAATTTTAAATTACAACATCTTTTATTATTTGAGTGCATCTTATTTCTAGAAAAGTGTTAAAAAGGAAAGTTTGTGAACTTTGTGAACTGTTTGTTTGTGACTCTAGCATTACTCATCAAACAATTGCTATTTTAAACCATATACTCCCTCTGTTCTCAAAAACATTTCCTCTTTTATTTTTTTCCATTTCCAACAAAACACTTCCACTTTCTATTAAAAAACCATTTTTACCCCTACTTTTTCATATCATGCTTATCACATCATACTTTTTTTCTAATAATCTATCCATCACATTTTACTTTTATCCATCACAGCAGGAGTAAAATTGAAAGTCAACCATAATTTAACACTTTCTTATTTTGGCTCCAAGTCAAAGTAAGAAGCTTTAAAGCAAACGGAGGGAGTATATAGTAATATGAAAAGGTAATAGAAATCATTCTAAATAGGACTAAAACATAGAGAAAAGTACCAAAATAGGACTTTCATGTTTTTTTTCGGAATAGGACTTTGCATTGTGGTAATGTGACTTTGCATTGTGGTAATGTGGCAGTGTACCACTACTACACGTATCACCTTTCCCAGCGGATAAATTAAACTTTACACAACGGTTCTTAACCGATGTATATGCCCCCGGTGGGAAAAGTTCAGAGTTTAGACAGCGGATAAATATCCGCTGTCTAAAGTCAGTATTTTAGACAGCGGATATTTATCCGCTTTCTAAAGTCCACTTTTCATAGCGGATAAATATCCACTGTCTAAAACATTTTTTTAAAAAAAAAATTGATACTACCTACTACAAAATTACAATCGCATACATTTTATTGAGCTATAACATTTCTTTAACTATATACAAAGTATATATATTAAGCGAAATAAAAGTTCTTTTCATATTATGAAAAAAGGGTCCATCCCAAAACCTGTACAATAAAAAGTACTCCATTGGAGTATGATGTTGCTAAAGCATCCTATAAATCAAATTAACACAATACATAACAATCTAGAACAAAACAACAATCCAATAGACTCCATCCAAGCAGCTTCCCAGCCAAAGCATCTTCCAAATTTCCATAACCTAATGAACTAAATAATATCTTGAACCAAAAAAAGACAGTAAATTCAAAGTTAGCTCTCAATATCGAGTTTCCAGTGTCTAAAAATATTAAATGATAGAAAGAAAAACCATCATTATGCAAATTTTATACATACAGTTGGTGCATTTTACCACTGGCTTACAAGGCAGCAGCTGTATGAACAGTCTTTTGTCATCAATGCCAACCAATATAAATAGGAGATAAAATAGAAGCAAGAAAATGGAAGTTCTTGAGAAAACATGTTAGGAGTAATATTAATAAGAAAAAGAAACTGCATGCTGGGAGTAATCTTACTTAGTAAGATATATAAAATCATCATTATGCAAATTTTAACATATATACGTATTTGGATTCTGCATGAGTTTCACATTATAGGTTGTGTACTTAAAAATCAATACCTTGGTTTCTGTGCAAGCAGAGTCCCTAGCAAGTGTTCCCAAGTTCACTTTAATTCACCCATTAAGTCGACGGAGCAATAAACAAACAGGCCCTACTTTTTATTCCATGCAGCAAGAACAAACATTGTAGAGTCACAAACAATGCCTATGAACTTGAAACAGAGCATCAATGTAAATCATTATCTAGAAATTGGGTAGTATGATACTTATTTTTTCTAGAAAAGAAATATAATAGCACGTTGCTCACTAGTGGGTTAAAAGAACGAAAGTGAAAGTTCAAGATGGTTAGTTTGTGGATATTTTAAGGTGTTTTATGTGTCATAAGTGAATTTACTATTAAGAGAAATAACATAATAGGTAAAGGATATACCCTATGGTGATTAACTACAACCAACATTGTGTTGTGCGTCGTAGTTGGGGAGGGGGGAAAGTTAACACCTTATTTGAAACACATATAATTCAAGTGGCACTAAAACAATGAGGAAGAAACATTATTTGCTCAAAAACAGAATCCAATGTTATAATTTGAGAAGATAGTACCTTCTCAATTTTTACAGCCAGCTCAAGTTCCATGATTGTTTCCTAAATTATATGCAAAAATATTATTTCCAATGCAGCCTTTTCAGAACCCCTTCCTATCAATTTAAAATATTGCTTTAGAGATTCCCATCCATGGTCATTAACTCACTGACTTAATTTGAAAATTTCCAATTTTAAAATTGGAAAGAGGAATATGAAACATTATAATATATAAGTCTGAACTACAAAGTGCAACGATGATTCCTTTCAAATAGAACAACAGAAAATACCACATTATCTAGCCAAAAAAAAGAATTTAGTTGACAAAATAACCATCACCATGTATACCTTAAACCTCACGGCTTCAACTGCAATAACACATCTCAGATAGAGGATTGAAAGTGTGAAATTTGAGAAAGAACTTTTGCAGTTTCTAGTTTGTTCATGAATTATATCTACAAGTTTTCTCCTTTGAAAACCTATTTAGTCCCCTCCTAAAGTACCAAAATTAAAAACTTATCAAGAAAAGGTAACAAACAAATAAATGTTGAGAAATTAAACCTTTAGCCTGATACTATCTTCAGGAGTCCCAAACCACCTCAAACAAATTGAATAAAAAAAACTTTTCAAGAAAAGGCAACAAACAAATAAAGGTTGAGAAATTAAACCTTTAGCCTGATACTATCTTTAGGAGTCCAAAACCACCTCAAACATTTCACTTCCATCTTAACACTAATTGAATGTTTAGTCCAAATGAGCATATTAACCTACGAAGTAAAAAACAAAGAAAATCCAAAGTAACGGTGGCTCATTCTTTAACTTATCTAAAACTTAAAAGTAATCAAGGTATTTTAAAAAGTGGAAGTTAAAAAAAAAAAGAAGGCATAGAGCAACAGAATGAAATACCCAATTGTGGAATATCTAGAGTCGTCAATTTTGGAATGAGGCCAATTGGTATATGCACTGCTTGAAATTGAAATCATGGGGATCTGAATCTAAAACTCCATAGTAGAAAATTTTGTTTTTTCTGGATTTAGAGTCAAAATTAAATGGAAAGAATTGAAGAGTGACGCCTTCGCATAGAAACGAAACATATACCTTAACAGGAGGTTGAATAGAAGGAAATAGAAAGCATGACCGCCGGAAGGAAGGGGCGACGAAGACCGGATCATCATCGGCGGATCAGGGTTGGCAGCGGCTAGCGGCTGGAGAAGAGGCTAGCGCAAAATGATGGAGAGAGAAAGAGGCTAGGGTGAGATTGGAGAGGGGAAAATAAAATTAGGCGACTTTACACAGCGGGTTCTCAACTATCAGCTACTAAAAATGGCGAAAATATCTAAAAGTGTAGCGCCTAAAAAATTATAGAAAAAATTACCTAAAATAATTCCAACTTTACCCAGTCTTTCAAAAATAATCCCACCTTTCACTGTGATGCATAATAATCCCAATTTTATTGAAATTTGTCAGTTTTGGTTCGCCGTTAAGTTTCTAACGGAGGGTTAACGGAAATGCCCGTTTTAGGCAACAAAATGAAAGTTGAAATTATTTTTGATGAATTTTTGTTTTTTATCTTTTTTAAAATTTTTATTTAAATTTTTTGAATTACTTTCAACCTCCATTTCTTTTTCTTTTTTAAAGATTATTCTTACCTTAGAAAAAAATAGATATAAAAAATAATGAAAATGAGAAAAATAACTAAACCATACAAAATTAATCAAATAAATAATGTAATCAATAGAAATTAAACAGAAACTAGTAAGAAATAAAATAAATATATACGGAGTGGTGGGTTTTAACATTTTACACACTATACGGAGTCTTAATGTACTACTTATTTTTTAAAAGAACAAGCCGTCCGGTAAAGTTAGAATTATTGTAGATTATTTTTTCTAAAAATAAGAAGTGATATGTTAATACTTTGTATAATGCGTAAAATATTAAAACCCACCCGTATAATTTTATTTTACTTTTACCAATTTCAAGTTAGTTTCCATTGATTACCTTATTTATTTTATTATTTTTGTATCATTTTAGTTACATTTCTCATTTTTTCATTTTTTATATCTATTATTTTTATTTTTTAAACTAAGACTAATCTTTAAAAAAGGAAAAGAAATGATGATGGAGGTAGAAAGTAATTTAAAAAATTTAAATGAAAAATTTAAAAAAATAAAAAAAATGAAAATTCATCAAAAATAATCCCAACTTTCATTTTGTTGCCTAAAACGGGCATTTCCGTTAACCCTCCGTTAGAAACTTAACGGCGACCCAAAACTTGCAAATTTCAGTAAAGTTGGGATTATTATGCATCACAGTGAAAGGTGAGATTATTTGTGAAAGATCGGGTAAAGTTGAGATTATTTTGGGTAATTTTTGCAAAATTATACAGTACAATGCCCAATTTTTAACTTTTCACACCGATTTAGAAATATCCGCTGTTAAAAACCATTTTTGTAGTAGTACATGTGCAAATTACTAAACTTTCTTGGTAATGTATATGACCATGTTTGGTAATGTAATTCTTATTTCGGGAATAAAAACATGGAAGTCCTATTTTGGTATATTTTCAATGTTTTAGTTCTACTTTGGTATTTCTCCCAAAAGGTAAATATTCTAAATAAGGAAATAGTACTTTTAAAAAAGTTAACATTACTTCACAATTTCTTTTGTAATTCGTAATTAATATTAACAGAACGGATGTTTTCTAATTAAGGTAATTCAATTCCTCAATAATAACGACGCCACGGAATATTGTACGAAAGAAAACATTATTTTTTAAAAAATTAGTATTACTTTTCACACAAAATGCCTTTAAAAACGTGATATTATTAATCTAAAAAAAATTATTATTATTAATCTAAAAAATGGTTTAAAAGCTATAATAAATACATTTCCTTTTTTATCACACGGTATTAACCGTGGTGATTAACCAATTTCCTTTTTAAAACGAATAGTTTTAACACGTAATTAATCATTTTAAAAAAGGAACAATGATAATATGACACAATTTATAATTGGTAATTAATATTAGTTGAACGGATTTTTTCTAATCAAGGTAATACTGTATCCTCAATGCTTTCAATTCGTATGGAGTGTACTAATTATTTTGGGTACAAATAGAACATGACTTTCCATGGTTGTAAACTCACATTCGCATCGTAAATTTACTTTTTATGTTTTTTAATACAAACCACATAAGGACTAATTAGTGTATGGTCCACACTAGACGAAGTTGACGATGGTATTGGTCCGTTCATGGTAAGAGTTCGCGCTATACATATTTATCGAACATCTGTACATGATCGAACGCCACAGTCTTTGACGTCATTTTTCATGATGACAAAGACGACCTCTCACCATTTTATGATAGTCTTTGTTGGAAAGACGAAGCTTCATAAATTATTTTTGGAATAATTTTTGAATTTCCAATATAAATTCATGGCTTTTAAAGACATCCAGTTACTACCTTTGATAGACGACATTCATCTATATCTATACTATATTTAAAAAGAGGGGAACTCTCCATTCTATTTTCTCACCTAAACATTTTAGTCACAAAAGATAAGTGCTAAAACTTGAAATGGTAACTGCCGTGTACAAGGTAATTTCATAATTATTTGCTCTCTCACTTTTATTTCATAGTTATTATTAATTATTAAATTATTAATTATTATGGTACCATATAATAATAATAATAATAATAATAATAATAATAATAATAATAATAATAATAATAATAATAATAGAAAAGGTAACATGTGAACCTTTAATATTAATATGGTAATAATATGATACCGTATAATAATAGTAACAATAAACGTAATAATGATTATTGGTACCGTGCATAATAAAAAATGTAACATGTGGAACTTAATTTTAAATTATGAATTATTAATGAAGTAATTTCGTACCTCATAAATTTGGTACGTTGTAATAAAAATGGTAAATGTGAAACTTTAATTATTAATAAGTTAATTTTATACCTTACAATTTTTTATACCGAGTATAATAAAAAAAGTAACATATGAAAGAATAATAATATGGTAATAATATGGTACCGAATAATAACAATAATAATAATAATAATAATCATAATAATAAACGTAATAATAGTAATAAAGCTAAGTTAGTTTTGTACTATTACCGTGTATAAAATAAATGAAAATGTTGACTTGGTTTAAAAAATGTATTCTCATACCTTATATATTTTACCAAAATTATAAATTATAATATTAATTATTAATTATTAATAAGGTAATTTCATACCTTATATTTTTTATACGTGTAATAATGCTTACCAATTAGAATAATAATAATATGAAAATAATATGGTACCGTATACTAATAATCATCATAATAATAAACGTAATAATAATCAAGGCATGTTAGTTTTGTGCTATTACCATGTATAAAATAAATCAAAGTGTTGACTTGATTTTAAAAAAATATATTCACACACCTTATATTTTTTACCAAAATTATAAATTATAAAATTAATTATCAATTATTAATAAGGTAATTTCATACCTTATATTTTTCGGTATTGTGCATTAAAAAAGTTAACATGTGAAACCTTAATTATTAGTTATTAATTATTAATTATTAATAAGGCAATTTCATACGTTATAGATTTTGGTACCATGCATAATAAGAAAGGTAGCATGTGAAAGAATAAAAAGAATATGGTAATAATATGGTACCGTATAATAATAATAATCATTATAATAAACGTAATAATAATAAAGGTAAGTTATAGAGTAATAATAATAATCATAATAATAAACATAATAATAGTAATAGAGTAACAAATTATAGTGGCTTGAAGATTTCGATATGCAAAGAACACAATGTTCTCACAAATTGTACGAATAATGCAATTTACAAAAAGTCGTTTGAAATTTCTAAGCAAAAAACTTTTGTACCCAGTGGCGGAGCCAGGGAAGACTTCATGGGGGGCACAAATTTATTTAAAAAACAACAAAAAAATTTCATAATAGTAATAACCTTATTTAGAAAAGTGCAACTAAACATACCTTTTATTTGCTCAAATGAGTAAGAGTTTTTTGAGGTCATAGAAAATTTTTTCGAGATGCCAACTTTTGAAAGCGCTGCATAATCACTTCATCATCAATGCTCATAAAAATTTCTTTCTCAAAGTAGCATAATAGACAATCTGATAGCATCTCATCTCCCAAACGGTTGCGTAAATCCGTCTTGACAATATTCATCGCAGAAAAACTCCTTTCAACTGAAGCTGTCCCAACAGGTAATATCAATGCTAATTCTATAAGTCGATATACCAGAGGAAAATAAGTGTGATAATTCATCTCCACCATCTTCTTTGCAAGACTTCCAAGATTGGAGATATTAGCAAAAACTTCATTCGATCTCATATCAGAAATATAATTTTGAAGTTCATGATTAAGCTCAACTCGATCACAAGAACTGAAATCTTCTGAATATAATACAGCAAGTTCTAATAGCCGATCTTGATCAAAACTCGTAAAACAATTTGAAGGATCAAGACACATTACACATCTTAGTAAATTTGTGTTTGTCTCTGTGAAGTGTCTATCCATTTCCGTTGCAAGAATATCAATGACCTAACATCAAGTAAATAATAATAATAATAATAATAATAAATTAACCTCATTTCTTATGATATTACAATACTTCCAAAAAAATCATATTAAAATTTAAAATTAATAAGAGTAATATACCTTTGCAAAGATCTCTCCACGAAAATGTACATAGTTTGTCATGGGTTCACCAACTCTCATCTTTTTTCTTGATCGCCCACGAAGATAATCTTCCATGTTAGGCACATCAATTGCATGTTCTTCACAAAATTCACTAACTTCTTTCAAAAAGTCATCCCAACCATGATCTCTAAAATCTTGCAAGTTCTTTTTTACAACACCAATCATATTCAAAGCACAACCAATGTTTTGATCTCGTGCTTGTAACATCTTTGATAAGGTGTTAGTCATACCTAGAACTTTTAACATAAACTTTCCGATAAAAACGAACTCAAAAGAATCCATTTTATCAAGAATGTCACTAGCACTGTTTTTAATTTTGGATGTTTCACCATGCTGGTGTAACAAATTCAGCACTGTACCAATAGCATTCCACATATCAAAAAGACGAACAAGAGTTTTGTAGTGAGAACCCCAACGTGTATCACCTGGTCGAGCTAAAGATGTTACTTGGTTTTGCCCCCTACCAGTTGACAATTCACCTATTTCTATGCGATGCAAAGTTTCCTCCTCGTGTACTTGAAGGAGATAA